ACTAGAACTCACCATCTCCTGGTGATTGGCCCAAAGTCACCCAGCTGGCTTTCATGCCTAAGGCAGGACTAGAACTCACTGTCTCCTGGTGATTGGCCCAAAGTCACCCAGCTGGCTTCCGTGCCAAAGGCAGGACTAGAACTCACTGTCTCCTGGTGATTGGCCCAAAGTCACCCAGCTGGCTTTCATGCCTAAGGCAGGACTAGAACTCACTGTCTCCTGGTGATTGGCCCAAAGTCACCCAGCTGGCTTCCGTGCCAAAGGCAGGACTAGAACTCACTGTCTCCTGGTGATTGGCCCAAAGTCACCCAGCTGGCTTTCCTGCCTAAGGCAGGACTAGAACTCACTGTCTCCTGGTGATTGGCCCAAAGTCACCCAGCTGGCTGTAACTTGCATGCCGACAAAGAAACCAAGATTTCTGCCCACAAAACTTATTTTTCACTTGCTTGATTTTTTAAAAAATAATTTTTAGCCTTCACACTTAAAGATTGAATTTTTCTGCAAAGCAAAGCGGCTGGAGAATTGAATGTTGATTCTAGACATTGGTAACTCTGAGAGAAGAATAAGCATCTGTATTTGACATCCTTTTTTTTTTTTTACAGTAGCTCCCAAATAAACTCAATCCCTTTTCTTTAAAATTGCTGAAACTACCTAATAAAAACATCTTTTCTAACCAAGTATGTATCTTTTTCCAATAACTCTTTACTTTATCACGTGTCCACCAAACGTGATGATACGTGCCTGATTGACTATGAGACTGAAAGAAAAAGAAGAAACAGAATATTATCAAACTTGGGACTTATTTTACAGAGGGTTAGAGGAAAGAATAAAGGACTAGGAATTAAATATGTGTTAGTGCAGTTAAACTCAGGCAGCACGTTGGTTGAAAAATTATTATTGTATGTATGGGAAAAATGAATAAAATCTTATTTTTTAAAAAAGGATCCAAATAGTAAGGGGATTCCGTTGTAAGTTCCTGCTGCTGCAGGATGATTATTATTCAATAAATTTATATGCCGCCCATCTCATCCAAAGTGACTCAGGGTGACTTACATTATAATAAAACATAGGCATATCAAAACAAATATCCAAACAATTAAAATGTCAAAAGAAGGCAGGCTAAATCTTGTGGGAGGTGGCTCAGATTCTGCCAGTTCTATGTATGATTCAGCAGAAAGGCTGAGAGTTTTCAAAGCCATGGTAATGTGGGAGGGAAAAAAAACACCCTAGGTTATGCCTTTTCCAAATGGAGGTGATCTGAAATAGGAATAAATAAATATTCATGCCTGTTCATTTTGTTTTCGGCTTTGGCAAACTAAAATTGCAGATCTGTGCGTTATACAAACTTGTCAAACTTGTTTCAAATAAGAGGCATAGCCCATCTTTGTCATTCTTAAAAAAACACACTCAGAACAAAAGAATGTTTTGTGCTTTTCCCCCCCTTTCTCTAAAATTAGATCCACGTACAATAAAGCAAGAGGCAAAGTATATTAAGGACAAAATTGTTTCACATTACCAAAAGCATTACTTTATGAAGAAATGCTCTCTCCCCCGCTTATATTATATATTATATTATATTAACCACTATAATAAAGAAGGAGACCCTGATGATTGCACATTTTAGTACAGCTTAAGATTAGAGGGGAAAAAACGTTCAAAGCACATTATTGGCTTTGCAGTGCAATCAAACTGTCACCAGAGCACAGACTTTAATGATTTGATAAATTTAGTACCAAAGAAACTCATCTTTTTATTAGGTATAATGCCAGAAAAGATTAACAAACAGAGCCTATATTTGATTTTGCACGTCACAACAGCGGCAAGAATAATATTTGCGCAATATTGAAAAAATGAAGGAATACCCTAACTATTTGGATCCTACGTGCCACAGAGAATTTAAAGTTGCAAATAAGTGTTTTGTGGCTCCCAGTGTAAAGGATTTCTTTTGTCTTCCTTAAGGACGCCTTAATCCTTCCCGTTTGTGTGTTTGTTTCAGGTACGAGTGTTTCAAGTACAAGAAAACAATCAACTACCCCCTCATCTTTCTACTACTAGCCTACAGCATTGGCGTTAGCATAGTAAGCAAGATTTCTCTTAACTCAAGCTGTTTTTATAAGGAGGTGGGGTGCTTGCAAACAGTGCACGGGTGTTCCTTCCTCGCCTGCATTTCAGGTAGTCCTCGACTTACGACCATAATTGAGCTCAAAATAACAACAACAACAACAATAATAATAATAATAAAGTGGAAGGGACCTTGGAGGTCATCTAGTCCAACCCCCTGCTCAGGCAGGAAACCCTATACCAGGGGTAGGCAAACCTGGCTCTTTTATGACTCGTGGACTTCAACTCCCAGAATTCCTG